CACCCCACGTCTCGTATTTGTATTGGGTGATTTCTTTTTTCCTAGCAAGAAACAGGGAATGAGGTGGGTAGTTAATGCACCACGCCTAAAAGTTTGGGGATTACTATTTAGTTTTCGTAATGTGACTAATGCACCAGTACGGAGGGAGTACAATGGTAGTCTTTGATTGCAATTTTTTGTTGGTAGCTTACAAAGCTGAGCGCTCGATGAGTACAATAGTAGTCTGATTGATGAGACTTCAGATTTGAGCCATCCAACAGAAGTAATAAAACAATACACCATGTATTTATTTACAGAGGGAGTAGTACATTTTTTGTGACATGCATTACTAGATATTGCTAGTCAAATACTAAATCCAGATGGACGTGGTAGTACTACTAAATACAGATGGTGGTGCTAGTGTACTAGTAGTGGTACTACCAATGTAGTAGCACTGTACTACCCGTTTGTCAAATTATTACGTGCTGCTCGTCGCAATGAAGTGACAAGACCCTGCGCCAGAGATGACACCTGAGTATAGGCGCCGTGTTCGGCATAACACACAAGTCAGCCTCACCGTCTATAGTCACTATCATCATGGCTATAGAGCTAGCCTGCTTACAAGTAGCCGTGTTCGACATAATTTCCCGTGTGTATATGCCCGTGCATTGCACGGAACACCAAGATTGGGGGTGGACGACGCCGGCAGTGGCCATCACGCTAGATTTTTCCATGGTCTTCTAGATGTGGTGGGAGGATATAAGGATGATTGTGAGAGACAAGGAGTTGTTTGTAAATAGGGAACAAGTGCGGGCATCTTTTTGCAAAACTAGAGAAGTTTGGTTTGTATGCGTCAGATCTAGATCCGACGGCTATTGGTGAAAGATGGCAGGCACAACATCATCACCAACTCAGGACCTCTTTGATTCGCAGGATTTTGAAAACGCAGGAATAGGACACGACAATATTATAAGTTTCAAACTGATATTACAAATGCTAGGAGTAATGCTGCACCTACGAAGAGGGAATCTAGGAAGTTTACGTAAGAACTTTCATTACTTTAGGTGGATGCAGCATTATCTTACAAACTAAAATCCACCGCCCTGACAAGTCACTAATGGGCAAATAAATTTTCGAGTCTCTGGCCGTATATGAGCCCATGAGAGATAGCAGAGAGAGAAAGAGCTACTCCCTCCGTTCGATAATGTAGTGCCAACATTTTTTTTAAAGTCAAACTTTTGAAACTTTGACCAAGTTTATAAAGAAATTACTTATATCTACAATACCAAAGATAAATGATAGTATGAAGTAAGTGCATGTTGTGATGAATCTAATGATCGTTCTAGATGTAAATGTTTTTCTCCACATATACCTGGTCAAACTTTTATGAGGTTTGACTTTTCAAAACATCCATATGCTTATGGACGTGAGAGAGTCCCTAACTAGAGAGAGAGAGAGAGTGAAATAGAAAGAGTGAGTGAAAAAAGTGTGTGTGTGTGAAAGAGACATGGACAACACACGATAAAAGTAGAGAAAAGGCGCGTGTGTCTTATGCAAACATATCACACATGCATCTTCTATAACAGAAGCAAGGTGAGGAAATAGCGTGTGGTTGTGTGCAACCGAGAGAGAAAGACCCCTAGCACGTGGCCAAGAGGGGTCTAACAAACAAGGGAGAGAGGTCGAGAGAGACGTACGGAGAAAATACAGACATGGGGAGGAGAGAGTGTATGTTTGTCATAAAGAGATCCTTGGAGATCGTGATGGGACTACATGGGTGGGAGATCGAGTGACAAGGTGTGTGCGCGATAGAAGATACCCCAAGAGATATCGAGATAGACGTATGGATGGAAGGAGACAATACGTGTGTTCTAGATGGCTAGTGAGAGATAATCATACTTAGGAGGGAGTGCATGCGCCTATGATGGAGTGACGGATTATGGTACTTAGGGGGGGTGCGTGTCACATAGAGAGAGAACAAGGGCGGAGAGTGTTGGATGGGTCTATATGTAGCGCGAGCGAGACATATGTATGTGTGAACCAGGGAGATATAAAGTTTAAGAGAGATAGAGGAGTCCCGATAAGGCTGAGTGGTGCGTCAGATAGTTGAGAGGGGGAAAGAGATATTCCATCCACTCGATAATGCAGTGCATGTAAAAATTTTAGAAGTTGAACTTTGGAAACTTTGATCAGGTTTACGCAAATGTTATTTATATCTACAATATCAAAGATACATCATACGCAATTACATCTCATGATGAATCTAATGGTATATGTTTGCCGTTCTAGATGTAAATATTTTTCTCCACATACATGGTCCAACTTTGTGATGTTTGACTTTTCAATAAATCTATATACTATGGACCAAAGTGTATTAAGTTCATGGAGAAATGGAGTAATGCAATAAGAATGATGACATGATGTAGACAAGATCTATTCATGTAGGAATAGACCCTATCTTTTTATCCTTAATAGCAACAATACATGTGTGCCTCGCTGCCCCTTCTGTTACTGGGTGAGGCAACCGCAAGATCGAACCCATCACGAAGCACATCTTCTGATTGCAAGAAAAATCAATCTAGTTGGCCAAACCAAATCAAAGTTTCGGGGAAGAAATACGAGGCTATAATAATCATGCATATAAGAGATCAAAGAAGACTCAAATAATATTCATGGATAGAACTGATCATAAACTCACAATTCATCGGATCCCAACAAACACACCGCAAAAAGTCATTACATCAAATAGATCTCCAAGAACATCAAGAAGAACATTGTATTGAGAATCAAAAAGAAAGAATAATCCATCTAGCTACTGCCTACGGACCCGTAGATCTATGGTGAACTACTCACGCATCATCGAAGGAGCACCAATGAGGATGATGAACCCCTCTGTGCTCGTGTTCCCCTCCGGCAAGGTGCCGGAATAGGGCTCTATATTGGATCTCGTGGTTCTGGAACTTACGGCGGCTGGAATTGTGTTTCATCGACTCCCCTAGGGTTTTTGAAATATTTGGGTATTTATAGAGCTGAGAGGCAGTGGAAAGGACTCCCGTGGGCCCCACCACCCACCTGAGCGCGCCAGGGGCCTCTGGCGCGCCCTGGTGGGATGTGGGCCCCACGGGCCTCCCCTCAGCCACTTCCTTGGCTCTCAAGTTGTTTTCTGGTCCAAAAAAATCTTTAAAAAGTTTCGTGGTATTTGAACTTCGTTTGGTACTGATATTCTGCGAAGTGAAAAAACAAGCAAAAAATAACAAGTGGCACTGGGCACTATGTCAATAGGTTAGTCCCAAAAAATGATGTAAAGTTGCTATAAAATGAATGTAAAACATCCAAGAATGATAATATAATAGTATGAAACAATCAAAAATTATAGATACGTTGAAGACGTATCAGTACGCGGAGAAGAGGAAGTAAGAAAAGTTGAAGATCGAGGAAAGGAAGCTAAGAAAAAAGAGGGTGATGTGGGATGTTATGCAAGCAAGTACAAAGCACGAGGAAGAGATGGAGGCACGTAGGCTTAAACTTGACGAAGACCGGTTAATGCAAAGCAAGATAGCGAGGAAGAAACTGTTGATATTGGAGTCCAATACCATGGATCTAATGTCAATATCATTTTGGGAGTTCACGCGAGCGGCGATCATGCGTCCTAGGATGACATGGAGCGTTGAGCATACCGGAGGGGCAAATTTGACAAATTTGACCTGTGGACGAAATCAAATTATAAAATGAACTGCCCGTGAAACTATTTCACACGGCTGACCTTTTTGTGTGACGCCCGACACGAAGGCGTCACACTACACTGTGCAACGCCTCACAGATAGGCGCTATACGCCTAGCCAGCGTTGCACCCCAGACTGCCTAAAAATTGCCAAGTCATTGTGCAGAGCCTAAGAGCTAGGCGTTGTACTGTATAGTGTGGCGCCTAGCTCTCAGGCGCTGCACTAGTGATTGCACTACAAAATAAAGCAACCACTAGTGGAACGCCTAGAAGCTAGGCGCTACACTGTATAGTGTGGCACCTATCTCTCAGGCGCTGCACACTGACTTAATAATTTTCGGATCACAAGGATGCGACGCTGCCCAGGTGTGTAGCGCATATCTGTGAGGCGTTGCACAGTGTAGTGTGACGTCTTTATGTCGGGCGTCACATAAAAAGGTCAGCAGCGTGAAATAGTTTCATGGGTAGTTTATTTTGTGATTTGATTTCGTCCATAGGTCAAATTTGTCAATTTTGCCAAACCGGAGGAGGTGACTATGAACATACCGGAGGAAAAGACGGTGCAAACAATGGAGGAGTCGTCGGCGACATGTGATTTGTACATGCTGGTTGAATGTGCATAATGTTTTGTATTTTATTCATGCAATTTTGTTTGAAAAATGTGTGCATGATGCTTTTGAAATGATATGAAACGTTTAATCCAAATGTGTGAACGAAAAGGAGAGAAAAAACATTTTGAAGGCCAAGACATTGTGACTCTGATTTTGTACATCGTCTCGCACACTCCCAAATTTGATAGAGCACGCTTCATATGTGTTTTAAAGAGTGCACATACGGCAACTCTGCTAGAGTTTTTGTAAGCTCCCTAGAAAGGGAGCAACACTCCTGCTCCTCAAATATACTAAGCTAGAAATCCTTGCAAAAGTCAAAAAACAACAACAATGAAGTGCCAGGCTAAAAAACTCTAAAATTTGAATGCACCAATGAAGAATTGTTTGGTTACACAATAGCGGGCTAATATAATATACTCCCTCCGACCCATATTAATTGTTGTTGATTTAGCACAAGCAATTATCTATATAAACCAAATCTACTATGGGCCAAAAGGCAGTCTTCACGCCGTGCTGGCTAAATCAGTCAATACCAAATCATGAACGGTATAGAAAACAAATGGGCGCACATCGCCATTTTATTCCAACATCTTAAAGCATATATTTCAGTACTACAACAGTAGATGATCAACATATCATGAACATTCTTTACATGCCTCAAAGGCTCAATCACAACTAAAGAGTAGCTTCTATTTCCAATCAAGCATGTCTAAGAGCCACAAGATCTCAGGCTCGGACCTTGCCGCATCACAAAAATCTAGTTCAATACCAAATACCTCTATAGAGTTTGTTCCTTTATACAGGAAAAGCAAGGACATCCAGGCCCGGATGTCTGATATGAAAGGGTGTCTGGGCGAAAACCTGAGATATTCATATGCCAACGCCCGTGCTGCATTGCTGTCAATGTAATCAAAACTCGACGTGTTGATTATGCAAGTCATCTTGTTGGTGTCCTTGCGGTGGGCAAGAACAGACACGGTGATGGCTGGCCCCATAGGGACTGTCAGCTTGGGTTTGACTTCCATCATCAAAATGCAGTCTGCGGCATTCAGATGTGCAACAAGTACATCTGGTATGCCGCCAGGTGTGTTCTGTAAACCTGCTCGAAGAATGCAGCCTGAAACTGCTTGAGAGAAGATTAGTGATCCCTCAAGCCACATGTCAATGTAAAACACCAGATCCTCAAAAGTGAGCTTAGGTACAGGAAGGTGCACTGTCTTCCGTGGCTTGGAGAACGTTAAATAGAGCTTTTGGAAGTTTGTGTCAGAAGGAGGCTGTTTGCAGATGGAAGGCCATTTCCGTGAGCAGATGCATTTCCAGAAGTAATCATCCTTTGCAATTTCGCACCATTGGCGGCATACAAGCATGCAAAAGACTAAGTCTTTACCATCCAGTAGAGGGAAAACAGCCTTCAGAACTTCACCAGGAAATCCATTTTCCATTCTCAATCACTGAACTGAAGGAAATGGAATGCCTCTACCCTCTAGGATCGAGGCTTCAGCTACAAACCAAAAAGTGAACCGGAAGTGCCTATTAATAAGAGATGGTTAAACAAATACTGATCAATTCATGCCCAGTCAAAAACTGAAGTAGCAAGACTACTGCTATCTTTTAATTCACTATAATCTGAATCTGCATGGATGATAAACGTAGAAGAGTATACCTAGACTAAGCAGAACATGGACCAATGGCTATTGCTAGAACATACTCCCTCCGTCCCACAATATAAGATCGTTTTGCAAGCTAAAACAGCTTGCAAAACGATCTTACATTATGGGACGGAAGGGGTAGTCCATAAAGAAAATAGCTTCCATCTTCCAGATCAGTAATAATTTGGAAATGTGATGTCTGTTGGAGTTGGGTGTGTGAACTACACAAGAATGATAGAAGAAATAAATGATCAATTTGATTAACAAGCTTTCAAATAATACCGGCAGTAATGGAAACTATATTTGTTTCTGAGTCACAAACAAATGATCCAACCGATTACCACGAGTAGTTGCTATGATCAAACTGATTTGACACAATACCACGATAAGCATTCACCATGGTGTCTAAATAGCTAGCCCCCACTAACTATTTCTCTCAACATGCAAGCATGCCACATCATCACACAACATGCATGAGAAAAGGTCCACCCCCACTACCATATGTCTTTTAACATGCAAGCATGCCACTTGATCGTGAAATATGCATGAAAAAAGACACATCTCAACATGCAAACGGACATGAGAATTTTCATTCTATTATGCTATTTATACATTTTACATTTATATAGTAATCAAACATAATAAATTATATGTATTTTTAGTTTTAGCCTTTTATATTATTGCTTCAAATATTCATGTTTCATACAATGAATCACACTGAAATGTGTTGCATAATATTCCCGCAACAACGTGCGGGGTATCATCTAGTTTACTCAAAAGCACAAACCGAACCATGACACCCCAACTCTTTGTTGATAATGCATCATGTACATGTTGTTGATCTCCAACGCATTCATTTACCGTTAACCACTCCAATCTTTCTTGAGTGAAAGCCAATGGAAAGTATTGTAACTAGTACTGTACGTACTATATATACTAGCTGTACAAGTTTATGCTAAACTGATATATGATCCCAAAACATGAAAAATGAAACCTACAATTGATTGCCCCCAACAACCAGGGAGGTAATGAAACACCTAGCGTTCGGAAGGAGAAAAGATACTACCAACTTCTCAAATATACAACAGAAAAATCGAACGTTCAACGGAATTTTACTTGTGCCTACTAGCCACGGGGTCAGCGGTTGTCCGGATTCGGGGGTGATGCTGTGAACAAAAAATAAGGGGGTGTAGAGAAAGGGAAGTAAAGGAACCCACCGTGGCTAGGAAGAACCGTCGGTAAGGCGGCCCGCCGGCGTAGATCTGCAGAGACCGGTGAGGATGAAGGGGCGGTCGTCGATCTTGTAGCGATGGACGACGGGGTGGCAACGTCGGAAGATGGACGCGCAGGGGAAGAGAGGTCGCCGTCGCCGGAGAGATTCGCCCATAGACAAACAAGGAAGGAGCAGGATCGGTGTCTGGGAATGGGAGAGGAATGGGGACCCGGAGGTGCTCGGTGTCGGTCGGAGAAACCTGGGGTATCCCGAAGCCAGGCTGTCACATGTGGGTTGGGCCGTATGCGCCGATGGGTCAGATTTGTGTATCTAACGCGCCCGCCGCCCACACGTATCTGAAGCCCAAAAATCGAGTCGAGTCCTCCATTTGGAAGTTGGCATTGTCTAAAAAAAATGAAGTTGGCAGGCGCGTCATAACCGGCACAAGAATGGCATTGTCATTCCTTGCTCTCGGCTGCACCCAACAAGGCCCCCTTATCCTAAAAAAATGCTATTACTCCTGATTTTCTCCTCTATTTTTCCTCTTCGACGAATTAAAAATATACTCCCTCTGTAAACTAATACTCACTCCGTTCCAAAATAAGTGTCTCAATCTTAGTACAACTTTGTACTAGAGTTAGTATAAAGTTGAGACACTTATTTTAGGACGGAGGGAGTATAAGAGCGTTTAGATCTAGTGATCTAAACGCTCTTATATTAGTTTATGGAGGGAGTATTATTGAAGATAAATAACAGATTTTAAACCTATATTATTGATAAAAAATGTCCAGAGATTCAAAAAATGTTCTTGAGTTTTAAAAGTTCATGAAATTTAAAAAATGTTCAGGAATTTATTAAAAATTGGGATATTTTAAAATGTCTGAATTTCAAAAAAAATGTTCACAAATTTAGAAATAAACACGAATTTTAAAATATTCATGGATTTATAAACAGGTAAAAGAAAGGAACCAAAATTAAAAAGTAAACAAACAAACGGAAAAAAAACCCTCCAAAAATCAGTAGAAGAGAAAAAAGCCCCGACAAACAAAAAAAAGGCTGCTGATGCGCTGGCTCAGATGCAAGAGATGGTGGAAGAAGAACAATTAGTTTCTAAGTAAACATGGAATAGTGAGTTGTGGGGCATACATCTTCACATTTGACGGTGCTTTGACATTAACAGTTGGAGCATCATAACAGTTCTTGTGATCATGGCAAAAGATCTCATGACTGATCATGATCCAGCGGCATGGGCTCAGTGCTATGATGCAAACGTATCAGTATTCAGTAAGCATGCCATCCACCTTGGCTGAACCATGAAGAATTGCCTCTTATATTACATATGGATGAGACAATAAATCAATGAGGGGCATTTTCCCCAAGAAGTGTTTACTTCCTTTACGGGCATAGCCTTTAGGATCGAACCATTATAAAATGTGAAGAAACTTACATGCATCATTCCCAAACCTGAATCAGGCTCTATGTAAATGAGCAATTGATGTCACTAATGAGCGAGTTCTGATCCAGCTAGACCACTATACACTCCGTTTTACAAAACCAATGCTGTCTCTTTAGACGCAGGTTAACTCCAGTCAATTTGTTGTATTTATGGGCCGTGTGGGGACAATAGCATATAAACTGGGCGTTCCAGCACGGGTTCATATTCACAATCTTTTTCATGCGAGTCTTCTGAAGTGCTTCCATGTTGATCCACCAGATGCGCCACCAGCATTAACGTTGATTTATCACGTTCAAATAATCCTGAGGCAAATGAAGTCTTGGGGCACGGTAGCAAGTGGTGTTCAGAAAATTTTGGTACAATAGGAAGAAAAGATCCAGGATTTTCAGCTCAAACACGAGCTGCTTGAGGAGGCGGGGAGTAATGTCGTATGCACAAAAATAGTTCCAGATGTACATATTTGCAATCAAACTCCAAAAGTGGAATAGGTTCCAATTGAGTTACCTGCTATCTTCTTCCAGTGGTTCTGAACATTTTTCATGCACTTTTGCTCATCCAAATGGCCTATATGAAATTCGCTGGACAATTTTCTTCTGCAGAAGTGTGAACCATCATGTCATGTATTAGAAAATAGCATGGTGTCCAAAACAGCCAGGAGGATCTAGATACATGGAGAGGTGAATGAGAAGTTGCAGTGCGAACTTGAGCGACATTCACAAAACAGACAAACATGGCCCACTCAACATCTGTTTTAAATTCAGCAAGAATTTATCACAGCACTATGCGATTAGCTAATGCTCCGTCCGTATAAGATCTTATTCCATCCAACATACTCACATATTGGATGTAATAAAATCTTATATTATGGGACGGAGGGGGTACTAATTATGCATAAATGTATAATCAACATTGCTTTTCAATAACTCAAAGAATCATGAACTATAAGTTTAAATGGAACTAAATGGTTAGGAGCATAATGCGGCATCCAAGGGAGGGAGATACCTCTGCCGATATTAGCAACATCATCTTGGATAATAAGAGGACTTTTGCCGCCACGTTCTAATGAGACAGACTATTGAAGAAGATAAATGCCCAATGGATGCATAATTCACAGACTTCTTGGCTCTTGCAACAGACCTTAACCATTTGCACCGGTAGCAGTCAGCCGGTCATTATATCTCTAAAGCTGATCCAGAGTTTATGTAAATGAGCAAATGCGGTCAATTAGTTATTTACCCTTCTACAGTCTCGGCTGTAGTTATGCCATAACTGTTAACTCACACGCAAATATCAACCGCACTCCAGCCCACACCTTTTTCCACTCCATGATTCTTCATCGTGTCTCTCAGTTTCTCTATCTCTTCCCATTTTTCAGCACTACCATATGAATTGGACATTAAAACATAGTACCCATCATTTCCTGGGTCAGAAGCAAAAGCCTTCTTTGCAACTCTTAACCCCATCTCGAAATTGTCATGCATTTTGCAGGCACTAAGCAAAGTTCCCCATACCCCACCATCAGGTTGTATTGGCATAGCCAAAATCATATCTTCTGCTTCTTGAAGATGCCCAGATTTCCCTAGGAGATCCACCATACATGCGTAATGCTTCAGGTTAGGTTCAAGGCGGTATTTCCCCATTCTGATGAACAGCTTCCTGCCCTCATCAACATACCCTGCATGGCAGCAAGCAGACAGAATGGCAAGAAAAGTGACACTGTTAGGCTTAATACTTCCTCTCTCCATCTCACTAAATAACTGCAGTGCTTGCTTCACATCACCATGCATCCCATAGCCTGCTATCATCACATTCCATGTAACAACATCCCGTACGAGCATAGAATCAAAAATTCCTCTTGCAATCCCCAGCTGCCCACATTTAGTATACATGTCAACAAGTGATGTACTAATAGATACATCAGATTCCAACCCCATATCTTTCACATAAGAATGTATCAGTTCACCATGTTCCAGTGCAGCCAAATTTGCACAAGCTGAAATGACAGTAATCAAGGTTGCAGAGTTTGGTTGGACACCTTCAGTGAGCATCTGATCATATAGTGACAAGGCATCATTTGAATGTCCTAGATGTGAATAGCTGGATAGGAGTGCATTCCAGGTGACAACATCCCTCCTCACTTTGGCCACACCAAATATTTTGTATGCAAGGTCAAATTTCCCACACCTTCCATACATGCCAATTAATGCATTGGCAACTGAAATTTCATCAAGCAAGCACTTGATCGAAAAGCAATGAGCTGATTGACCTAACCGCAGTTGTCCTAGCCGTGAACAAGAAGAGATTGTGGAAACCAAGCTGTTGATATCACATAAAAATTCATCATGATCTCTGCAATGCATTTCTCGGTACAACTCCAAGCATTTGACATCAAGTCCAGCTTTGCAGTATAATACAACCATCAAACTCCATGATTCTGCATCTCGTTGATGCAAAATTCCAAAAACTTTGCCTGCAGCATCTACCAACTCAAGTTTCCCGTACATTGAAATCAAAGCATTGGCAACCAAGAAACTGTCTCCAAAGTTTCTCTTAGTTATAGCTGCATGAAATGCCTTCCCCCTACGCACATTTCCACTGTTCCCTAACCCTGAAAGTACACAGCTAACAAGAACTTCATCTGGCTGCAGACCAGACACCACCATCTCCTGGAACAACTCCACGGCCTCCCTATCAAGTCCTCTCCTACAATAGGCTCCAATCAAGCTAGTCCAGGTAACCACATCTTTTTCTGGCAACTCCAGGAATAAAACACATGCATCCTCAGTCCTATCGCACTTTGAGTACATTGAGAAAAGTGCGGAAACCACCAACGCACAATCTCCAATCCCTTCCTTCACCGTGTACCCGTGCAAGCATCTCCCAGCAGACAGCTCACCTAGCAGTCCGCAAGCCTCCAACCCACTCTCCATTGTCCGTGAATTTGGCCTCGCGCCGCCATCACCCGCTAGCCTAACCATCTGCACCAAGTATCTCATTCCCTTCTCACCCTGGTCATTCCTAACGCACCCAGAGACCACCGCGGTCCACGTGATGACGTCCCTCTCACCCATTTCGTCGAACAGCTTCGTAGCGTCGTCAATGCGGCCGCACCTGGCATACATGTACACGAGCGACGACGAGACCGCGAGGGAACCATCGCCTACCAGAAGGCCGAGCTTGACGGAGTAGGCGTGCACGGAGGAGCCGACCGGGAGCGCCGCGAGCTCGGCGGCCGCGGAGGCGGCGATGGGCGCGGTGAACCGGGAGGGCCGCGCGCCAGAGGCGCACATGCGGCGGTGGGCGGAGAGCGCGGAGGCAAAGTCGGAGGCGCAATGGTGGGAGCGGAGGAGGGAGTTCCAGAGGAAGGTGTCCGGGCAGGGGGAGGCGGAGAAGGCGAGGGCGGCGAGGCCGGGGCGGCCGGAGGAGGAGTAGGCGGAGACGAGCTTGGCGGCGAAGTCGGGGCGGGAACAGAGGCCTGAGGTGGCAGCGAGAGCGTGCAGGCGGAGGAGCACGGGCAGCGGCGGAGGCGCCGAGGAGGACGAGGCTAGGAAGCGGTGGAGAAGGCCCAGACTCGTCGGGGTGAGAGGAGGGCGAGAAGGCGGCATCGGTTTGCCGTTTGCTTGTTCAAACACGTTGATCAGTTGAAGTATGGGCAGTCGCCTGAAAATTTGTTCAAACTCAATCGATTTGGCTGAACCGTTGGATTGAGCTCATCTGTTTCTTCAACCTCCACTCACCAGAGCTCTCTTCCTTAGGGCAAAGCAACAAGCCCACTTTGAGATCAGCTTGTAGAGAACATTGCACAGGCTGAAGGAAATTCTTCCTGAGATTGAAGGAAATTCTTCCTGAGATTATATCTCCGACCAAGTCCGCCTTTGTTCCTGAGAGGTTGATTACCGATAATGTGTTGTTGGCATATGAAATAAACCATCGGATGCATAAACGTAAGGGGGGACGAGATGATCTTGTTGCTCTTGTTGCGGTCAAACTTGATATGAATAAAGCCTATGACAGTGTTGAATGGGAATTTCTGAAATGCATGATGCGAAAGATGGGGTTCGTGGAGGTTTGGATCAACACCATTACGAAATGCATGAGGACAATAAAGTACAGAGTGAAAGTGAATAGAAATCTCTCACAGATCATTGTGCCGGAGAGAGGCCTTCGTCAAGGGGACCTCTATCCCCATATATGTTCATCATGTGCGTTGAGGGCTTCTCGGCGCTTTTGCAGCAACCGGAGGTTGAAGGCACAATTCAGGGAGTCCAAATCTGCAATGGGGCGCCAAAAATAAACCATCTGTTCTTCGCAGACGACTCGCTCATCGTGATGAAGGCAAATGCTCAAGGTGCAGCCAGGTTGCAAGCCATTTTGGCTTTGTATGAGGAACAATCAGGTCAAATGATAAATAAGAACAAGTCCTCGGCAACCTTCAGTAAAGGCACATCTACAACAGTTAAAAATGAGGTTCTGCAAGTTCTCACTATCCCACATGAGTCTCGCTGCAAACGGTATCTGGGGCTACCAGTTCATGTTGGTATCGTGCCGAGTAGGGAATTTATCAAACAATGTATTTGGCAGAGAATGCAAGGGTGGATTGAAAAGTTGTTGTCCAAACCGGGTAAAGAAACCTTGGTGAAATCTGTTGCCCAGGTGATCCCAACCTTTGCAATGTCATGCTTTGATCTGACCAAGAAGTTATGTGAGGAGATTTGATACATTAATTAACCGCTTTTGGTGGAGCCAGCAAGATAAAATGGACAAATGACATTGGATAGGATGGACAAGCTTACCAAATCAACAAAGGAAGGAGGTTTGGGCTTCCGAGACCAACACATTTTTAACCTCGCGATGTTAGCCCGACAAGGGTGGCGCCTCCTGCAGGAACCGGATACGCTTTGTGCGCAAGTGTTGAAGGCACGCTACTTTCCAGATTGTTCGGTGCTGGAGGCAGAGGCGAAAGGGGATATGTCCTATACATGGCGGAGCATACTGAAGGGGATCGAGCTGTTAAAAGAAGGTACTGTATGGAGGATTGGCTCGGGAGAAAATGTGAAAATATGGGAGGGCCCATGGATTCCGCGGGGGGACACGAGAAGGCCATGTACTCGTCATGGCAGCGTGCTAATTGGTAGAGCCAGCGACCTGATGAATCCTATAACTGAAACTTGGGATGAGGAGTTGGTCTCTCAGTTGTTCTGTGAGGAGGACGCAAAGGAGATTCTTGCTATCCCTGTGCGGCAAGGCATGGAGGATCAGGTGGCATGGCACTTTGATCCGAAAGGCATGTTCTCAATTAAATCAGCCTATCATTTGGGTGTCCATCTTCGAGAGGCGTGGAAGAATAGAGATGAGAGCTCATCGCTCCAGGCGCCATTTGTATCACATAAGTGGAATAAATTCTGAAGCCTGAACCTTCCTCCCAAGGTCTGTATGTTTCTGTGAAGATTAGCATATAATAGTCTGTCTTTACGGATGAATATAAAGAGGAAACATGTTGAGCTGGACACTAGGTGCCTAATTTGCCTGAGATTCGATGAGGACGATGGTCATCTATTTCTCAAATGCAAACAAGTGAAGCAAGTGTGGAGGACTTTGTTGATTGAGGATATCAGGCTTGCCCTTATAAAATGTACAGATCCTATGACCATGTTTGACTTTCTGTGGGCCCTAGACAGCGAGCGGCGTGATCTAATCTTGATCATGCTCTGGGAGTGGGGAATGTCTGGAATAAAGCCAATGTAGGAGAAACGATTCGACCATGTGAGGAGGTCTGCTTCATCATCAGAAGGCATGTTGTTGATTTTGCCGTGGATGAGAAGTGTGTAGAGGTACCTGAAACAACACCCACTACTACAACATGGCTCAGGCCAAGGGAAGGGGTTGTCAAAGCCCGGTCGGACCAAGGGTGGTTCATTGTTGCGTGTGCAGGGAAGCTCGATCATCTAGCATCACCACTCCAGGCTGAAGCCACTGCATGCATTAAGGCGATTGAAGCTGCGAGCGAGATGGGTGTGCACAAGGTAAATTTTGAATCAGACTCGCTTCAGCTGGTGAAGGCACTCAACACTAGCGACTACGACAAGTCCTCCATCGGCGTTCTGTTGAGAGAAGCTCGGAGCCTCTGCTTTGCATCCTTTGATGCATTTGAGTTCAGTTTTTGTAAGCGAAACTGTAATACTGTTGTTCACAATTTAGTTGCTTTTGGTTATAGGGCTGGCGTGCTTAGCACCTGGTGGAGGGAGCAAGCTCCCGAATTTGTTGTTGACTGTGTTGCCAGCAACATCGCTGTGCAGGGTTTAAGTACCGGAACATGTGTTCCCAGTTCAAAAAAAAAAAAAGCAACGAGCCCACATGTCTGGTCCACCCCGTCCGTTTGCGTTTGCGCTGACAAAAACATGACCCAACGTGTCGGCACAACATAGCCTATAACCATTGAAAAAGTTTATATCTACATGAATACTGAATTTGGAAAAACATATTGAAAAAAATAAAAAAAATCTAAAATTTCCGGGTATGAAACTTAGTCGACCATTCTACTCACATTTGAAGTTTTTTCATGTTTTGACACTCATGGCAATCTTAGTGAAGAAAATATAATTGGGACCATACCAATCAACAAACCATGTTTTTTAATATAGCTTCGATTTTGGCATTTTTATCCAGATTACCATGGATGTGATTTCTTCATGAAACTTCATACGTGAGTATACCGGTTGACTATGTATATTAAAAACAATCATATTTTTTCTAGTATATTTTTCGAATTTACTATTTATAAGAGGTGCGCAGGGAACCATGTTCATTAAATCCACGTCCATGAATCAAGTGACTTCTCTTTCCCTATATAAATTTAGATACATGTCATCTAATTTTCTCTGACTTTTCTATTCTCATGAATCAGAGGAGCCTAAACTCTAATTCCACCTAGCGCCCTGTCATTGCCTCTTCTCGCTCGATCCAGGGTCATCTCCACCATACCCACAACATCCATGTGTTGTCACCGCCTCTACCTCCACTTGAGTTCACCTCTGTCGTTGCAGCCATGTTGCCTCCGCTCGATGAGTTTGATAATGACGAATCCGACAATTAAACAACCGACTATAGCTTGGACAAACACTTTCGACAATTTGAATAATACCAAGGGAGGGGGGGAGGGAGGATTATTTTCGTGATAATATTTTGTATTAGTTTTATTTATGGCCGCACAGCGGAGATATCCCAAAAAAATTAACCATAGAAAAATAACACGAGTGATAGAAACAACAAATATTGTGAACTATACTGAAATTTGGTATCGACGTGCAGCATAGTTAAACGGAAAATAGTAACTGGTGAACGTTCACCAAGGGAGAAACTGCCAGTGAACGCCCTAGCTGCCACACGATCTTAATCTTACGGTGTAGTTTGGATGACCTTTTTACACCCAAAATTAAACAAATGACATGTCAGTTTTGCAAAAGAAAAAGGCCACCCAGGTTCTCCAAATGCACTAAAAACTGATTCGTAAATGCCATGTCCTGTGGCAAACGTTCGCCAGATATGCCCATCCTATTTAAAGGAGTAAACCTGCAGTTTATATAGACTTCATATCTTTCATCATAGTAAAAAAATTATATCATCATTTTTCACAAACGTTGTAGCCCTCATTCTCTTTTTTTATGGGACCTCGTGAGAGGGCGGAGAGTTCCCACGACTGCGTTAAAAGAAGAGTTGATCCAGTTAACGAGGGAAACCAGATCCAAAAACCATACTACACATCTTGGTTAATTAAGGAAAACAAAGAAAAAATCAAATACACCACAAAAGAAACAAGAACTAGAGGTAGATGAAGCGGTTTAAACATCATCCTGACACAAGAGCGCGAAGGCCCAAAACCACCAGACAGCATATGTCCAGCCAAAGCGACCACCATACTTGCAAGATATCTCAAACACCCCGAGACTCTCGACCCCCATGTATCGAAGCAACATGAACTAACATTTATCAGTGACCCCCTTTGGTTTACCGTTGATGGTCGCCAAAGCTCGGAAGCCCTCATTCTCACGTTGTAGGTCCAAGAGTTTATATAGGTATCAAAATTTCCCACCCGTGGTTTATGCGATAGCCTCAGAAATGCACCACATGAACTCTCACCAAAAGAACATAAACAGATATAACCAAGCGGACATCTTGGTAAGCTACCAACAACAAATTGCAATCAAAGAGCATAAACAGATATAACGAAAGCAGAAGAACGTAATGCCGTTTTTTACTTTAGCAAGTTTTTGACCAACCGCATCTGTCACAGGCTCGATGACACACTATCATAACCAAGTTCGCCACATAATGGCTTATTGCGAAAGCACTGTACAGAAGTCCCAGCCAGGATAGAACTCGCCTTTTCAATGAACGAGGCTCCATTCTCATGACATGAATGCCTCATCTCAAGTCATCTACAGCTTGGATGGGCGCTGGTACCATCCGTATAGCTCATCTTTGCAGTACCTGGTGACTTGCTTCACGCTCAAGTAGTTCTCGAGGCCCCTGAAAGCAAAACAGCAAAGACAGTTCAGAGGATACTTCCAGGGGCAGTGCAGTTTGCAAACCATAGCGCTCGTGAAGTAACTCACCATTCTCCTAGCTCCCGGCCAAAACCGCTCCGCTTGTTCCCTCCCCACGGAGCTTGAACCAGGGTCGGTTGCGAGCAGTTTATCCAAACAATGCCTGAGTGAATAACCTGCAGGTGTGGGATTGTACGTTTACCTATCAGCTCACTGAATATTTCGAATACTTCAATTGCATCACACGCTACAAATTTACGGGCGTGCTTGAATCTACCTTTGCAATGCGCTCACACCTCTGTAGATCATCAGAGATCACACCACCAGCCAAGCCATAGCTGAAAACAAAATGGTAGAGAAGTCAAGGGAACGATATAAGCACGGGCTTTTTTTTCAGGCTTGCGCAAATCAGGTAACTCACTGGGTATCATTTGCAAGCTCTACAGCTTCACTCTCTGTCTTGAATACTTTGACACAGATGACTGGTCCAAAGACTTCCTCTCTCCAAATTTGCATTGATGTGCTAACGTCTGTTATAATTGTAGGTTCAATAAAGAACCCTTTTCCGAGATGCTGCCATTTCACAAACGTAGCTTGGATGAATAACCGAGAGGCAAGAGCATGTAATGTAATGACCAATTCTTACCTTTGGTCGGTCACCACCATGCAAAATTGTAGCACCTTCACTTCTTGCTGTCGAGATGAACTTCTTAATCTTTTCATACTGAAATAAGAAAAAAAAATGGCTCTCTATTGTAAGGGAACTCTGTGGTTGCCAAAGCATAACTGGATATACAAGCTGAATACTCCCTCCGTCCCAAAATAAGTGACTCAACTTTGTACTAAAGTTAATACAAAGTTGAGTCGCTTATTTTGGGACGGAGGGAGTAGTTTGCAAAAGAGAAAGTCAACAGTTAACAATTTATTGCATTGCAGGTCATCCCCGTTATCTCGAAGAGGGATTATCGGTTTTAAGTTCAATTTCACACCAAAGTGTGAACAGGTTTACCAAAATGTACATATTTGCGTCCCAGCTACAAAAGTGCAATACGCTCCATTTGAGTTACCTGCCCTTTACTGATGACTGAACCCAGCCTGCAACCTTCTTCCAGTGGGTCTGAGATTTTTATGTTCTTTGCCCATTCAACTAGTCTATCTAAAAATCGCTCTGCAATTTTCTCCTGTGAAAGAGTGGATCTTCATGTCATCTATTAGAAAATGGCGATTTTCCAAATAAAATAAAATCCAGGAGAGCATACATACATGGAGAAGTAGACGAGAAGTTGCACTGCAAACTTGACCACTATTGAAAAAACAACCAAACACGGCCCATTCAACAGCTGTTTCAAATTCAGCAAGACTTCAGCACACCAATCCACAAATTAGCTAAGACTACGTATCAATGGAATATGTAAAATTGGCAATTGTTCTTCCATAACCCAGAGATTATGGACTGAGTTAAAGTGGAAAAAATGGATTAGGAGCATAGTGCAACATCCATGAGAGGAAGATACCTTTGTCAATGTCAGCAACATCATCAAAGATAACAAGAGGACTTTTGCCACCAAGCTCTAATGAAACAGGCTGTTGAAGAAGATAATACACAACAGTATCAGAATAAAGGAAACATAGATGCCTAATTCACAGATTACTTGCATCGGCTCTTTAGCCGAAGCACAGAACATCACAAGTTATAGCAACTGAAATATATAGAGAACACACCTTAACCATTTGGGCAGCAGCGGTCATTATCGTCTTACCAGTTGCGGTACTTCCTGTAAAAGCAATCTACAGAAAGGATCGAAAGATAATTTTAGAAGCTTGAAGACTGAGGGTGATCATATAAGATTACAACTTGGTATATCCATGAGCATATGACAATTTATATTCAAAGAATAGGTCTGACCTTATCCACATGGGGATGTGAAGCTATTGGAGCACCAGCATCAGGGCCCAGACCAGTAATTATGTTCAGAACTCCTGAAGGCAGTCCTATCTCTTCACATATTGCGCCGAGCTCTAAGCAAGTTCTGTTTTTGAAAAAAAAATAGTCATGGATACAATAATAATTCGAAGGACTGGACTTAACTAAAAGGCATCGGGCCTTACAGAGAAGCCAGCTCAGATGGTTTTAACACAGCTGTACACCCAGCAGCCAGGGCAGGTGCAACCTTCCAAGTAGCCATCAACAGAGGATAGTTCCTTCATTTGCACAAGAGAAAGCAAAGTAATTAGAAGTTTAGAACTATTAACTTCAAAGACACCGAGTTATCAAATTCAGCAGGCAACCAATGCAAAATTATCTTAATTCAATTGTTAATTAATGACCTGTTGTTTCCATTAAAAAAGTAAAACAAATGACCAGTGGTTTAGCCTGTACTCGTATAAGATTTAATATTCAATACCATGGACGAAGAAAAGATCTGCCATGAACTATAAGACCTTGGAATCTCAAGGATAACAGCTTAAGAAGTTTTAAGAAGAAAAAATGACAAGTGAACCTATAAAAAAATGCTATGATATCCGCATATAGTGTGGATCAAAATCCAAGAGAAATGGTTGCAATATATACCAGGGAGTGATGAGTCCAACAACCCCGATGGGTTCTTTAAGAACATAGGTCTTGAATTCTTCCATGGGCAGAGAGATTGGCGCATGTTGTTTACCATCTAAGGCTTCAGCCAGACCAGCATAGAACTCAAAGCATGCAGCGACATCGTCCTAAGATAGGACGGAAAATCATCAAACAAAACATGGAGCGTCTTTAGGCACACTAAACATTATATAACGTGAATAATTGAAAATACCATGTCCGCAACTGCTTCATCCTTGGGCTTTCCAGAATCAACTGTCTCCAGCCATGCCAGATACGATATCTTTTCTTTAATCTGCACCAGCATCCAATATTTCAAGAAAATTACTGGCAGTAACAAACATACTAATTAACAGACAAACATCCATTATTCAAAGCAGTGACAATAGGAAACTCTCTTGTGCTAACAAAAATTCCAGCTCTCTGTCTTCCATTTCAATGCAGCAAGACAGCACAAATTTGGTAAACCTTACGCATGCTACATGTATATATGAAATTGATGCCAAATGCAAAGATCTATATGTAGAGTGCCTTCACCTTTGAAATTGGTGCAGTCCAACAGTTTCAAAATTGGTTTCATTATAACAGAAACACCATGTTCTGAATGAACAAACCTATCATCTTGCCAGCTTCCACTCCTTAGAGCTAAAGCTTTTGTATCGGAGTATGACACACTAACATGCCAAAATTAAGAACAATTTTCTGTTGCATATGATGCTGTGAGACTATCTCCTACCATACTTGCAACATATGTAAAAAAAACAGTCATGTAGTAGTTTGCAATAAAAAGAGTAACAAATCTGATAATTTTCAACAACTAGGCAAATGTCCAGCGTGATTGTGCAAAGTGTAGTAATGTATAGTGTGTGGAGTTTAAATCTCAGCAGGGTTTGCTGTTTCCCAAGAGAAGGAGGGTGCGATCCCTCAGTATCATGATTGGATGCTGAATTTGGATTCCTACATTGAAAACAAACTGAAGTTGGTACATTTAATTCATCATAATGGAACATCTTCGCAAACCACATGATACAGAGGATTAGTGGAGCCATCAACCAGGTTTGCACCCTCCACCTCTGAATTACGAACAATGGTATTGTACTTTCTTTTCGGAACTTTTTTTCTTTCCGGCGAACTTCTTTTCGGAACATACTTGTAAGTTGAAAGTTATTGCTAACCAACTGTACCAAACCTAATACTAAGACTTTTACGAAAGGATCAATCGACCCAAGGATCTGATGTTTTTTCTAGCTAGCGACCGTTTCTAGAAGTTAAAGAGCTCATATGACGCAATAAAGATGTACTCCGTACAATCCGACTAGATCAAAATTTTGTACTGTACAAGAGATGTGCAGCACTAGGGGCATCCTGTTCTTCAGCCCCCAAAACCAGCTTCACTCACACGGCGATGAGATAATGGTGCCTCGGCAACTCCGTGCATGCGTCTAACTTTTCTGTGAACATGTATACATCTAACTTCAGGCCTCAGATTCAGAGAAACACAAGAGATTGGCACCTTAGCGGCGATCGCGTTCAGATACTTGGCCCGCGTCGCCCCGGAAGCGCGCGCCCAGCGGCTCCCGCCGTCGAGCAGGAACGCGGACCGCGCCGCCGCGACGGCGAGCTCGACGTCCTCCGCGGTGGCTGCCGGGATGTCGCCTTCACCGATCACCAAACCACACAGCAAGCCAACAAGCTGAAGTCAGTACGGTACTGACACAACATAGTACTAGTAGCGCCACGATGTGGCGGAAGGGCGGAGGTGGGGACGGGACGGCGAAACGAACCGATGGTGTCCTCGGTGGCCGGGTTGATGACGGGGATGCGGCGGCCCAGGGTGGGCTCGCGCCACCCGCCGCCGATGAAGAGGCCGCGGCGCGGGATCGCTGGGGGCGCGGCCATGGCTACTCTGCTTCGGCGAGGCGGATGGCCGTGCTGGGCGGTGGTGCCGTAGTAGGAGGTGAGTAGGAGTGTGGGGGCGGAGCGAGGTCTAGTGCTGTGCTGCGGTGGCTCCTGCTGCTTTCGCCTTTAGGTGGGGGCGAGCGAGCACGTTTTCTCGTGATCCCGGCGATCTCAGCCGGCCCCGCAACCCGGAAGTGTTGGCCGCGTTGCTATCCTCCACGCCTCTCGCCACTGAATTAATCAATTAACTAGTGCCCGATCATCCGGGATGGGTCTCTTTTCCTCTCCGTGACCCACCGGGGCGTGACCAAGCTGTCGCGCTCGCGCGTCGTGTACTTGCGCGTGGCACGGAAGACACACACGTACGTACATATGCTTTGCTCCTGTTGGGTGGGCGTCCCACTCCGTCGGTGCCGTCGCTACCAGCGCCACCTAACATTCAGGATCAGTCGCCTTTTACAACGCGGCTGCCTGATCAGACATCAGAGGACAAACCACATGCGATCGTCGTTCCAGATCAGATCAAGCCACTGCTGCAAAAGATTCTCGTATTGATTTTGATGTTTAGGCCTTCTTTAATTTATAGGATAGGAATTTTATAGGAATAGGAAAATTATAGGAAGTGAGATGACATGCATGCCAATTTTTATAAAGAAAGAGATGTTATTTGGTGCATAGGATAGAATTTTTTTCATTGAGTCTAGACTAATGTTTTTTTCCTTCAAAACGTGAAGGATTGATTCCTATCCTACATAGAAATAGAAATCCATTCCTACAAAGCAAAGGGCTTCAAAGAATTTTTTTTTTTTTTGCAAATCCTATCCTATAAAATTACTACAAAAATCCTACAAACCAAAGGAGGCCTTAAAAGTATTTTGCGTACCCCGAAAAATTCGAGTTCAAGCGCGGGCATGCACGCACGGGAGCTGCTCGTCTTGTTGTTAGTTCAAAGTTCTAAATAAACTCGTTCACGTGCAGCAGGGTTTGAGATTTTGTTCTCTTCTCCGTGTCACGCAGCGCCAGATGTTCGATGCCATGGGAATGATCGAGTCCCACTTCCCCGGGGAGGGGAGGGTAACATGGCGAGAGGAGACCGATGCAAAGTGTGCGTTCAACGTCATCGGATCACTTTTTCCTGAGCAAATCGTGTGGGTAGATTACTTTTCTTCTTGATAGGAACGCCAGGTTCTTTTCAAGTTATTTATATTTAAGAAAAACTCAGCGACTGATTTTCATTTCAAATTGGTCGCTATTCTTAGGGATTCTTTGATTCACATAATTCTAAGAACACGAAAATGGAAAAGACGTTGGATTGAAATGTCATTCTCATCTCAGGGTGTATTGGGTTTGAAGAAAATCACCATGGATGCCACTTGTGTGTTGCCGCACCACTTTTCTACCATCTCAGTAGCTAAATGCGATGTGCAGTCGCTGCCGCTGCACAACCATCATCCCTCCGTGTCAAGTCGTCTACAATTTACAACTTCCCACAAGAGTAAACCACTGGATCTAACGAGAGGACCCTCACGAAGACCTTTTGGTGACCACCGCAGTTTGTAGAGAGTCCGCCGCCATAGACCAAAGTGGCGTAGATGGTGGAGCCGCTCCAAGGCCATGTCGGTGCCGCCATCATGTGGGAGTCTCACTGGAGCAGCACCCCGACATCCCAGACGTCTCCTATCACCGCGGATACGGCGACGATGGCCCCGTCCGGCACCAGCTCCGATGTGACGGGCAGATCAAGCAAACCGCAAAAATGGATCAAGATCCAACCACTCTACACGCAACTCCGACACTGCCTTCATAATCCCCAAGTGCAGGGAATCATCGTAGCAATTCCCAAAGGTGGAAGTGATAAGTATGTAGTGTCGAACCCACAAGGAGCTAAAGGTAAGATTAATATTCTCTCAAGCCCTATCTGCCACTGATACGACTCTACGTACACCAAACGTTTGCTTCCAACTAGAAACGAGAAATAAAACTACGTTGTGGGTATGAAGAGGTTAACTTGCATGGTATCGGAGAGATAAAATATAAAAGTAGGTGTTGTTATCATAAAGTTAGAATATATTACTAAATATTATAAATAGCGAGTGTGAAATAATGATGGATCGGTGTGCGGAATTGTCTTAGCAATTGTTAACAAGACCGGTAGTCGTCATTGCAATTTCATATAAGGGAGAGGCATAAACTAACATACTTCCTCTTCTTGGATCATATGCACTTATGATTGGAACTCTAGCAAGCATCCGTAACTACTAAAGATCATTAAGATAAAACCCAACCATAGGATTAAAGCATCAAGTCCTCTTTATCCCATACGCAACAACCCCCTTACTCGGATTTATGCTTCTGTCACTCAAGCAACCCATTATAAGAGAATCATGAACGTATTACAACAACCTATAGCGGGAATCCCTCACGCTTGCGCGACACGGAGGGCATAATAGGACATCACCAAAATAAAGCATACAACTCATATTAATCTAGATCATCAATCAACTCAAAGACAAAGGATATCTACTCAAAACATCATAGGATGGCAACACTGAAGGAAATATGCCCTAGAGGCCATAATAAAGTTATTATTTATTTCCTTATATCATGATAAATGTTTATTATTCATGCTAGAATGTATTAACCAGAAACATGATACATGTGTGAATACATAGACAAACAGAGTGTCACTAGTATGCCTCTACTTGACTAGCTCGTTGATCAAAGATGGTTATGTTTCCTAACCATAGACATGAGTTGTCATTTGATAAACGGGATCACATCATTAGGAGAATGATGTGATTGACTTGACCCATTCCTTTAGCTTAGCACTTGATCGTTTTAGTTTACTGTTATTGCTTTCTTCATGACTTATACATGTTCCTATGACTATGACATTATGCAACTCCCGATTACCGAAGGAACACTTTGTGTGCTACCAAACGTCACAACGTAACTGGGTGATTATAAATGTGCTCTCCAGGTGTCTCCGAAGGTACTTGTTGAGTTGGCATGTATCGAGATTAGGATTTGTCACTCAATTGTCGGAGAGGTATCTCTGGGCCCACTCGGTAATGCACATCACTATAAGCCTTGCAAGCATTGTAACTAATGAGTTAGTTGCGGGATGATTTATTATGGAATGAGTAAAGAGACTTGCCGGTAACGAGATTGAACTAGGTATTGAGATACCGACGATCGAATCTCGGGCAAGTAACATACCGATGACAAAGGGAACAACGTATGTTGTTATGCGGTTTAACCGATAAAGATCTTCGTAGAATATGTGGGAGCCAATATGAGCATCCAGGTTCCGCTATTGGTTATTGACCGGAGACGTGTCTCGGTCATGTCTACATAGTTCTCGAACCCGTAGGGTCCGCACGCTTAAAGTTCAGTGACGATCGATATTATGAGTTTTTGTGTTTTGATGTACCAAAGGTAGTTCGGAGTCCCAGATATGATCACGGACATGACGAGGAGTCTCGAAATGGTCGAGACATAAAGATCGATATATTGGACGACTATGTTCGGACACCGGAAAGGTTCCGGAAGGTTTCGGACATATACCGGAGTACCATGGGGTTACCGGAACCCCCCGGGGAGTTAATTGGGCCTCATGGGCCCTAGTGGGAGAAGAGGATGGGCGGCCAAGGGCAGCCGCGCGCCCCCTCCCCCTCTAGTCCGAATTGGACAAGGAGGGGGGGCGGCGCCCCCCTTTCCTTCTCTTCCTCTCCCCCTTCCTTCTCCCCTCCTACTCCAACCGGGATAGGACTCCACCCTTGGCGCGCCCTCCTCCTGGCCGGCCGCCTCCCCCCTAGCTCCTTTATATACGGGGGCAGGGGGGCACCCCATAGACACAGAAGTTGATCATTGAACCCTTAGCCGTGTGTGGTGCCCCCCTCCACCATAATCCACCTCGATCATATCGTAGCGGTGATTAGACGAAGCCCTGCGTCGGTAGCAACATCATCACTGTCATCACGCCGTCGTGTTGACGGAACTATCCCGTGAAGCTCTGTTGGATCAGAGTTCGTGGAACGTCATCGAGCTGAACATGTGCTGAACTCGGAGGTGCCGCGCGTTCGGTACTTGGATCGGTCGGATTGTGAAGACGTTCGACTACATCAACCGCGTTCTCATAATGCTTCCGCTTACGGTCTATGAGGGTACATGGACGATACTCTTCCCTCTCGTTGCTATGCATCACCATGATCTTGCGTGTGCGTAGGAAAATTTTGAAATTACTATGTTCCCCAACAGTGGCATCAAGGTGTCGTGCCGGTAACGATGGTTGATACGTCTCCGTCGTATCTATAATTTTTGATTGTTCAATGCCAATATTCTACAACTTTCATATACTTTTGACAACTTTTTATACTATTTTTGGGACTAACATATTGATCCAGTGCCCAGTGCTAGTTCCTGTTTGTTGCATGTTTTTTGTTTCGCAGTAAATCCATATCAAACGGAGTCCAAACGGGATAAAAACTGACGGAGATTTTTTTGGAATATATGTGATTTTTGGGAAGAAAAATCAACGCGAGACGATGCCCGAGGGGGGCACGAGGCAGGGGGCGCGCTCCAGGGGGGCAGGCGCGCCCTGGGCCCTCGTGGCCTCCCCGTAAGGCGATTGATGCCCTTCTTTCACCGCAAGAAAGCTAATATCCGGATAGAGATCGTGTTAAAATTTCAGCCCAATCAGAGTTACGGATCTCCGAAAATATAAGAAACAGTGAAAGGGCAGAATCTGAGAACGCGAAAACAGAGAGAGACAGAGAGAGAGATCCAATCTCGGAGGGTCTCTCGCCCCTCCCATGCCATGGTGGCCATGGACCATAAGGGAAACCCTTCTCCCATATAGGGAGAAGGTCAAGTAAGAAGAAGAAGGAGGGGGGCGCCGGAGTGCCACCGGGGGCCATCATCATCACCGCAATCTACACCAACACCTCCGCCATCTTCACCAACATCTCCATCACCTTCCCCCCTCTATCTACAACGGT